TTTTATAACAATGGCGACAACAACAATTGGTTATTTTTTGGTATGCCAAGATGGCAGGTACTATTTAACATCACCAAATTTTTGATTCTTTATTGAAAGGACCAATCAAATTTTACGTAGGTAGGAGCGAAATCAGCCCTTTTCGTATAAACTTAATTTTAATATCATCGATTTACACAGCATTTTCGGGTACAAAAAAAATTTATTTATTATTATTATTTATTATTTATTTAAATAATTTTTTAAAACGGAATGTTGTTTTACTTCGAAAATCTTTACCTCGTTATTTTATTTTATTTTATAGAGGATATAGAGTTATTTTATACCACAAAAATCTTGGATTTAATCTACATGATGTGATATACTTTCTAATAGTTGTTGACCCACCCACCAATAATAATAGTATTACCTATCACATTGTCGTGGTATTGATTGATGATATAGTATTGATGTCACAATTACTATAATTATAAAATTGGATTTTGGATTTGGTAAGCGCGTATAAAGGTATAAAGGTATTGCGCACTTTGAAACAAGCCTGTGCCTCAGGCCAAGTGAAACTTGTATTTCATAAAGGATGTGTATAACCCTTGGCTTGAAATTCCCACAAAACTATTTTCACGTGATATTTTTCCATGTAAATTTTTGTCGTCACTCTTGTATCACATATTAAATAATTTACGTCAAATTACATGAAAAACTAAACTCGACTTGATACGTGTAACATCTGAATATTAAAAAAAACTCGTTTTTATTTATTTATTATTATTTATTATTATTAATTTGTACTATTCATTACTTTTGATTCATTTTTGTGCTCATTTGATAAATGTCCATGAATCTCAATTTCTTTATGAATCTCAGTCTCGATAATAACATTGGCGTCAATTCCATCTTTATTCTTATCAATTAAATCGCTAATTGTTTGATTTTGAAGATGTGGAATTGATAGTGGATCTGGTTCGCGATCAGCTTTTACCTTTTTTGACGAATATGATTTAATATGATTTATAAAAATATATAAGGTTAAAAAAATTATAAAATTAAAACTTACATATGCCTCGCTATCAGAAGCTAAAGTTTCATCCCACCCAGGTGCGTGCTTTAAAATATTTTTCTTTTTTCCTTTGTAAAATAAAAACAAATAAAAATTATTTCTCGATCTGTCATTCCACACTCCCTCTCATAATCACTAATCACAATGAATTAATAATAATTGCCTTTAAATGATATTTCTTTTTCTTTTTCCAAGGTTTTGGGATCATTATCTGAAAAATGGCTACAAAAGAAAAATAAAAATTTTTTTTTAATATAATGATTTATTATGTAACCTAGCAAGTAATTAATAATTGATATAATTATTTTTTCACCTTCCAACTGGTGTATACCATCTTCTATTGCTATGCTGACAACTGGTGTTTAATAGATTAATCGATAATTTCGTTGTTTTATTATTATATTTAATAAAACCTTTAAGATAATTCATGATTATTATTTTTATTCAAAAAAAAGTGTAGAATTTTTTTTTATTGATGCTGGGAATTTTATACGCTCGAATTATTATACAACGTGTCATAATGACATCATTCTCAAATTATTCATAATGTACAATTCCATCAGATCATTTGGATTATTATTAATTTCATAATAACAAATGAGTTCTATAACATCACTCACTTCTCAACACATATTATATATTTCAGATATTTACCAGATTTGGTCCTTCTCCACGATACTTTTGACCATATAATTATTCCATTATATTACAAAAAATAATCCGGTTACTTCAAAAGGTTAAACAAGTAATACTTTTACTTTTAAATTTAGATTAGTGACAAAATTAATTAGTATTTAAATAAGATTCTTTACAATGTGTTTATTCTTCTTTCCATCTTTTTTAATAAATCTATTTGTTGATTCCGTGTGAATCAATAATAATTAATGGATTGGTGTTTCCAAAATTGTGTTGATCAGTTATGATTGCTGGTAGTTCGTTTGAAAGTTTTTTGGTTTGTTTCTTTCTTTACTCATTACAATAACTATTAAATATTGTTGAGCGATTTCTTTTTGTAATCTTTGAAATCCATTTAGCATGGACAGCACACAATTTATGGTTAAGAAGCTTATTATCATATTATCATATTCTTATTAACAAAAATCAGTATTAAACTTACGCGCCCTCGAATAAGTAGACCAGAAAATAATAATAATTATCAATTATTAACAATGTTAAATAAAACTTGCCTTCCTGGAGCTTTGGGAATCTGGTGGATTGCAATCTGTCTAACCTAAATATACTGTATTCAATTATTAAATCGTTTTTTAAAAGTTGAATTCATAAAATTACTTTCGTTATGCAACATTATAATCAACATTATAAACATAATAAAATTTGTTATTCTGATTACCAACAACTCTAGCAAATGGTAATTTTGTGAGAAGGTTAATTGTCTTATGGGGTCATCACCTTTATAAATAACATACAGAAAGTTCTTTAATACAATAAACAGAAAACCAAAATCAATTTATGATTGGATTGTGGACTTCCTCCATCATCGTCAACACCTGTTCATCGCCACCATTTTTTCTACTACCATAGCACACACCACCACTATTGTTATTAATATCAAACATCATAAGATTAAAGTTGGTGTCTGCAACTAATAAGCCGCAACCATGATGTCGCAGAATTTAAATCAGTTCCAAACATCAACTTTACATAAGATGGCAGACAATTTAATTGAAATTGGAGTGATATGTAAAATTCGCAAAAATAAATAAATCAATAGACAGAAAAAAAAGTGTCCAACATTAATTAATTTCATCAATAAAATTTTGTTAAATAATCAAGACCAGGCATTTTTATTTCTTTACTTGTCTTCTATTTTTTTTTTTGTTGTTTTTCAATGCCTTCCATGTAATGGTGACTTATCGATCGATATCTTTGATATCATCGAAAACTTGCACAATTCTATTTTGTGGAATTACAACTATATAATTAAATAATTAAATCGCTATCTTCATTTAATATTAAAATTCACTCAATAAATAAACTAATATAATTTATTTACGATTGAAGAGGAAGATGATTTCTAAGAAATAAATACAGCTTCCAAGTTCTAATCTATATAGATTAATTAACTCGATATATATATATTGGCAACCTTTTGAACTTTTACCACCACATCAGGTCTCAACGAATTTTATATGCAAAGTAAAAAAAATTTTTGTAACACGGATTTTAATTATAATTCGTTGAAACAAGATCCGTTGAAAACGAAGTTCGGTTGTATTTTGTTTTTAATATGACTTCTCTCTCATTTCAAATAAAGTTTTGTTGACAGTAATAGTTTCTATATGCATATGAAAATAGCTAACTTTTTTCCAAGAGAATTTTTAATCCATTAATAGAAGAATTACTCGGACGAAAAAATAAATATTTCGAGAATTTATCATGCTACGTTTCTCTTAATTTGCACGATTATCTATGAGATACATCACTAAACTCCATGGCTATCTATATTAGCACATAATAATAATAATAAGTGTTATAGTGCTAATCTCACCGCACGGATTCACACGACATTATCAAATTATCCAAATTACTAAAATAAAAAAACAATTGCCTTTTCAAAATCCAGCTGAAGAACAGTTTCAGTTTTTGTTTTACAATAATAATAATGTAATGAGAAATAATATCAATTGAAAAAGGCGTGAAGCGCCAATGTGTTATAACAGTGGGCTGGGTATTTGGATAATTATCAGTAAATTTCATTATTTGGACCAGAAGTAGGCTAGGCCATTTACTTGTACTGCCGCATTAGTAGTAAAATTAAATACAAAAAAATTGCTTTGATGTTGTTAAGGTCCATTAATTGCTGATCTGCGTATGGATCGGGGCAGTGGATTGGGGTTATTATTATGTTTACTATGTAAGGAAAATGTACTGTGCTTTGTGCCACGCAGCGTGATATCATTTTTGTATATATGAAGTAAAAAAATTAAAGGGTTGCATGTGATATTTAAGACTTTACTAAACTTCAACACTACCAAAGCAATATTGCGAGCCATTAATTGGGAGCACCAATTTCTATCATTAGACGGGTTAAAAACTTTACTTGTAATAAAATAGTTCCTAAAAATATAAAAAAAAAGAGTAAAATTATATAATTTCAATGAAATTCATATTTTTAAATAAAAGACACGTCTTCTTGATCGATAACAATAAACTTGTATTTATATCTTTTTTTCGAGTTCCAAAAACATCGAAAACAAGGATTGAGATCCACAATTAACGAATACGCATATATCACGTCCATATTGAATTCATGAATGAAAATTTTGTGTACTAAATCGATTATATGAAACACACACAACTATGACATAATAATGGTTTTCATGCGAAACACGAGCGTTTTTAAAATACCACAATCACAGAAAACATTCTCCTTGGTATTTGATTAACGTGCCTTATCTGTTATATATATTTGCGAAAACGTGTTCTTAAAGCCCTTTTTCATTTCTCACGAGTAGAATGAATGCAATTAACTGATTGAAATCGTCGCCACATCAAAATCATTTTTATTTTCTCATCGTCACACTAAAGGAATTGAAAATGACATTGAATGATAGATAAGAGAGAAAGTGTGTAACAAAGTTTCAGAATATTTGACAATAACGTAATATAAATCATCATCGTCACATGTAAAAGGACACATGTGTAATTATTTTTATTTGTTTTTGTTATTTATTTATATAATTATCATGCGTTTATTATCAATGAATCAGTTGTAAATAGTGTTAGTTGTATTTCACGATGTAATAAGTTTTGATGAATTTAGTAGTTCTGGTACAAGATCTGCAAAGAATTGTATAAAGAAAATGATCATCATGAAAACGCCCATATAACAAAAAACTTCACAATCAAAATTATTTTAATTTAAATAATTATTGTTTAATAATTTTTTCGTTTTAAATTTTTAAAAGCAGGAAAGTTACTAATGACGCTCACAGAAACTACAACCCAAGCAGCCCTGGAAACAAATGAAGATTTAAGAATTCAAGAACTTTTTGCCGCCTCACAAAAATTATTGAATCAATCACAACCTTCGAATCCTAACAACAATAATAATCCTATTAGCACAAACCTTACAACGACTGATACTCCTACAACCTCTGCCTTTTCTATGCACCCAGAAATAATATCACAAGATAGAAATCAACCAAAACCAAGAAAAAATTCAAAAAAAAAAAATGTTGACAACTATAATTTTGGTGACGCTTCTGATTACTCATTACCCGTATCCAATAACGGTTCAACTCCATCTTTAATTAGTATGACAGGTATACCACCTTCACCTCCTACTATGAACCCAATAAATTTAAATAACAATGGCAATAATATATCATCATCATCAAATATTCCTCATAATATGACTTCAAATAATAATAAAAGTGATCGTGTTAAATCATCATCATCACATCGTGAAAGAGCTGATATTAATAAAGATATACCAACTGGTCCACCAGAATTAATTAGAGATCCAACAACAGAATCATTTTCATCTCACGCATATGGTTGGCCTATTTTGTTTGCTGTCATACCTCCAATGGGTGCTCTTATTTTTGGTAAATCTGATATTTGGAGCGATTTTCTTTTATTGCTTTTAATCGCATTCTATCTTTATAATATCATCAAAGGTATTTACTTACATTAATTATTATTTACGAATGATTTTTTTTTTTTAAAAAAATTAAATGATGGCAATAATGGCAATAATTATTAATAATTAAATTTTTTCTTAAAAATACAAATACATAGTACCTTGGGAACTTTATTATGCTGCTAGATCTAGACGTGTAATAAACGAAAGTACGACTCAAGATCAAGCATTAGATCCAACTCAAGAAGCCATCAAAAATCGAGCAATCAAAGAACTTCAACGTCAAGAATTATATGCTTTAATACTTGTCGTCGCCTCCCCAATCATCGGTGGTTATACATTACATGGTGCAAAAATGTATATGACTGACTATGACAAATACATTTCTCATTTTAATATTGTGTTGTTCGTTTTTGCTGCTGGTATTAGGCCTTTAATGCATATAGCCAATTTAGCAAAAAATAGAACTTTACACCTTCAAGAACAAGTCCATTATCCTAGTACAGAAGTTGAATTGTTGAAAAGACGTGTCCAACATTTAGAATATGAATTTTCACAACTACGTAAAGGTTTAGCAACAAAACGTGATATACTCAATGTCAAAGATGGATTTGAACCATCGATTTCCCAACTGAACAAGGCGGTTAGAAGATATGAAAAGAAAGAACAATACTTGCGTAATTATTCTGAGGAAAGATTTTCTTATCTCGAATCAAAATTACTTGAATATGACAATTTCATTGCTTATAAACTGCAAGAAGAGCAAGCAATGATTTTGCCACGTAGTATGAAGCAGGTAGTTACCCTGCCAGTAAATGTCACTTTAACAGCGTTTAGTTATGCAAAATATTTTTTGCCTAGATCTCTAAGAGGTGGTCGTCAAAAACCAATGTTACAACCTGCTACTTCGTCTGATAACGATGCTGATGGATTTAATAATAATACTATTAGTAACAGTAAATTAACAGGAGAAAATATTCAACAAAATGATTTGACTTCTGGAATTTTACAAAAATATTAAAAAAATTCATTTTAATTCAACATTTTTTTAATTCATTCATTCATTTCTTAGAATTTATTCATTTACTTAACTTATTAATTATTTTTATTATTAATAATGTTGTTGTTATCATTATTATACAAGAAACATTCTTTTTATTGTTACATTTTAATCACCACATCACACATTATACCATTATATCGTTGTCACACACACCATCTACACCTACGCACATTTCCACATATCCACGCTCCCTATAATATTAACTATTCATCCTTCCCCCAACTCGCTTTACATATTTATTAATTCATATTTGTTTGTTTGCTGGAAAATTAAGATCTTATCGAGAAAAATAATTCAATCATTTAAATAAATTTTGTAATGTTGATCATAAACAGAAAAAGAATGAAACAAAGCAATAATAAAAAGTTTCATAAAATATTGTTAATTTATTTAGATTATATTGTATCATTTTTTTATTTTGGGATTTTATTTATCTGTATATATTATCATTTTATCATATTATTATATATATCATATTTCAATAATAATAAAAAGAAAAAAAAAATTTTTTATCCCCAACTATTATCATATAAACAAATTTTGTACACTTTTTTATTTATTTACTTTTACAAATCATTATTTATACAAATCTTACAATTTACAGCCTTCCTCCTCTTATTTTTCCAATATATTTACATTTAGACTCTACAATTATCAACTTTAAAAACCAAGATATCTCTAGCTCCAATTTCTTCCAATTTATCCATAATATCTGCCACCTCATCTTTACAAACCATACTTTGTATCTCAATCCATTCACCATCCTCCAATGGACTTATCGTTGGAGCCTTTCTTCCTGGTGTAATTTTTGTTGCCAACTTCAATTTTATTCGTTTGATATTATAACTTAGCAACACATATTTTTTTGCCGCAATAACTCCTTTTATGCGTGATGTAATTAAGTTTACCAATGATAGATTTGTTGAATGGTTGTTTTTGATTAGGATTGCTTGCGTGGTTAAAATTGTTGAAATTGGTTCCAACCCTGCTGCCCTCATCGTCTCGCCTGATTCTAAATATATAAGAAGAGCATCAATAATATGCTTTACGAATTTGAATTTGAGTATTAATAAAAAGCAGAGTACTTATTAAAAAGGAATACTAACCAACCAAGTCGACTGTATATTACATATAACAATAATTTAATATGATATTAGATTAAATTTATTTTTTAATAAAAATAAAATAATTGAAATTAAAAAGCAATCAATCAATCAATTACCAATTCCATCAGCCAAACCAAGAGCACAGGCTGCTTCAACGCTTCCACTAACATACTGAATCATAGTTTTTTTTCCAGCAGCTCTTTCCTCTTCACTCAAATACTGCTTATCCAATTCTCCAAAATAATTTGCCACCAAGTCTTCAAAACTAGTAACTATTCGTTTACCAACCAACTCTTTTACATCTTTGATTTGATTTCTGACAGGCGCTTGCACTTGGAGTTTACACTTGCCAAAACCTAACTCAAGTATCACCTCAACTTTTGAAGACATTTGTGACTCTGCGATGATATCTTGACCGGTTATGCCTAAATCTACATTACCCTCCCCAACAAATTTTGCTATATCTGCTGCTGGTAAAAATACTATGGCTATGGGTAAATTGTGCACCAAGGCAATGTCAAGTCGATTGTTTCGATGAAAAGTTATATCGGCTCCTTCTAATAACGAGATGCAATGTTCATGAAGGCGACCTTTTTTTGGAATGGCAAACAATAAACGATCAGATAATTGAGATATTAACTCCATTTTTTATTTTTATTTTTATTTCTTCCTTTAAAAATATTGATCAGCATAACTGATAACTATAATTATAATCCGCAGTTCACAATAAATTGCGCCATGTAATTAGTACAAATTTAGAAATTAAAATCAAAATATGTATATATATACCAGCATCGGTTCCGATGATCATTTATTGTTTGGATGATCTTTACGTTCATTCAAAGAAGTTATAGAAGTTACTCACTTTCTAAGTAATAATAAAAAATTTTTTAACCACTAATCAAGAATTACGCGTGTTACACATGTATATTTTAGCAACGGAAGTTTTTATCGGAATTTTATTTATTATATATATAACAATATTTAATATTAATATTATTATTATTTATTATTTATGCCATGAGAATTGCGGAAAAAATTGATTATCATGTTAATTTTTATTAAATATAGAAAGTTCATTTTCCTTTTTCCCACAAAAAAAAAAAAATAAATTAAAAAAAATAAAAAATAAAAAATGTATTATATCAACACATTGCAAACTCGTATAAGAGAAGGTGAGATAGATCCATTGCCGATTAAAGGAGAAGGTTATTACCATCGACACGAGCCTGCAGAATTCACAGTGGAAGAAGTAAAGAATCCCAACGTTAAATACACAGCAGTTGGTACAATATTCTTGACAGATAAAAGAATAATATTTATAGCTGATGAACCTTCGATACCTGATGGATTTGAGACGTTCTATGTATTTTTGTCAGATATCGCTACCTCAGTTACACCACCAAAGTTTTTTTCCTATAAAAGTAAAAATGTTTTCACCACAGAGATAAAATTAAAGAATTCAGTTGTGTTGAAACTTACGGTTAATTATTGTGGTGGGTATCAAGAAGACGAGGAAGCTAGAGATATTTTTGAAGATTATTATGGAATGTTGACCGCTGCTTTGCGAAGAATAGTCTAAATTATTCAAATCATCAACGTAAAAACATATTCTACTGATACCTGTGATAAGTTGTTGCTGATTCATTTTCATCTCACAATCATCGTCATGGTCATGTAAGAAAAGGTTTACCTCCATATCATTAAATTAATATTTTATATTCTTTTTCTTGATTTGTAATTTTATTTTTATATTTATATTATTATTTTTAACATGGGATAGTTTTCATTTTATTAAATAAACAAAAAAATTTTAAAGTGATTAATTTTTATAATAGACTATTTATTATTTATTAGTTTTTTGATATCAAAAAAAAATTTAATATTGGTTATTTCATTTCAACAATTTCTGGTCCACCTTTATTTTTTTCTTCTTGTAACATCCTATTGGTAGCAATCCCAAAAAATTTTTTCTTTACAATATATCTAAGACACTGTAAAATCACATTTTTTTCCTTTACGGTTTCCTTATACAATAGCATTTCACGTAAATTTCTACAATGAACTCTTTTATGATCTGGAACTTTTGAAATAATTGGCGGACTAACTAATTTTCCTTTATGTAAATTTTGACAATCATTGCCTTTAGGGCAATGTCCTTGTCGGTATTTGATACACACTTTATCATAATGTTTCTTCCTATTGAATCTATGGTCGTTGTTATTCTTATTCTTGTTATTATAATTATTTCTATTATTTCTATCATTAGTGGTTGTTGATTTGTTTTTAAGTGAAGAATGTTCGTTTGCAACCATCAACAAATCATTATTTGAATTTGGTCTTGCGAATTCTCTATTATTTTTGTTGTTGTATTTTTTGTTGTTGTTGCTGTAGTTGTTGTTGTTGTTGCTGTAGTTGTTGTTGTTGTTGTTGTTGTTGTTGCTTGAGGAGAAATGAGTTCTTTTGTCCTTGTGATAATTCGCTGGATTACTAGACGACAAAATATTACCATGAGCCTTTTTTTCTTCTTCTAACTTTCTTTTACGTGCAATATTCGCTTCAGTTGGATAACGTTTTTTACGTTCTTCAATCCATTTGGCAATTACTTCTGGTGTATCAAGCTTTAATTGAAACAATGGATTTTTGGCTTTTTTGATCTTTAGATTTGTATAATAACTATTATTAATACTATTACCATTATTAATACTATTACCATTATTAATACTATTACTATTATTAATGCTATTACTATTATTAATACTATTACTATTATTAATACTATTACTATTATTAATACTATTATTATTATTATTATAGTTGTAATTATAATTATTATTACTATTATTAATACTATTATTATTATTATTATAGTTGTAATTATAATTATTATCAATAAAGTTAGATCCACCACCACCAATATTATTAAGTTTTTTATGTTGTTCTAAATGCACGAGAAAGGTTTCATATTCGATAAACTGCCAGCCGCATTGTACGCAAGTCCAATTATTAGTTTGAATAATTGAAGGAAAATTGTCGTTGTTGTTGTTGTTGTTGTCGTTGCCACTATTACTATTTTGATTTTTATATTGAAGTGATGAGGTGGCTACATTTATAGCTTGAAAAATGTTTGGAGAAGGATCATTTGCTGTTTGTTGTTGTGTATTTTGAAAAGAACTTGTTGATTTAAACCAGTTAAACATTGTGGTTGTATCATTGATTGATTGATTATGAGATCTCTTCTTTATGCAAAATATTGTTTCACGAAAGGTTGACAATCTTATAATGTGTTGTACAACATTAGTTATCAAACAGTTTACTATGTTTATAATTAGATCTATATAATATAGGAAAAAACAGTGTTAATTAATCAAATTTCTTTCTTAGATATTAAAAGGAATATTGGGTGAGTTGTGACGCTTTTAATCAACGTGATGATGATTTCACATTCATATTTATATAAGCCATTAACAACTAATTATTATTTGAAATTTATGCCAATACTCCTTCCGGTTAATTATCTCGAAACAATTTTCACTTTATTCAATTTTATTGGTTGACAAACTATGGCATACAACAGTGATTGAACGACAATTCAACAATAAATATAATTATAAAGATTTTGGTCCAGAACATTATTTACCTTCATTTTTGACGGTTGGATCGAAATTAATTAATTTTGTTGTATCTCTCATTCGTTATCACGTTCTCCACTTTTTGATTATCCGGAATTCTAAAGGTCAATCCTATGATTGAAGAGTCAGGCTGACAAATTATAAATCATTGAAATATAAAAAACACGCTTTAAAACAAGAACTTTATGGTTTTATTTATTAGCAAATGCGCGACTTTAAATTAGATCCAGGCACACCTTTAACATATTTATCAGGTATTGCCAATTGTTTAGCAACAATGTTACCAGCAATATTTTATCGATTATCACAACATTATAGATAATTGTCATATTTCTATCCGAAGCAAAGAGTTTGCGTCGTACTTGAAATTTTTCTTGGGCAGTATGTAGATCAGAGTAATCATTTGATATTAGACGTTGAAGTCAAGAGGAATCAATAATCATGTAGAAAGATTTTTTTTGTTCAGATCATATTCCAGTTATTTTCTTTAAATGAGTGATTAGGATCAATCACAGTTTTAAATACATTGCCATTTTCTCCATCATATTCACCATATTCACCATCCTTAGAATTTATTTCAGTTTGTTTATCATCACTAACTTGACCTACATCGAATACATCACTTGCTTCATATTCCCATCAAAAACAATAGCCACACGTAATTCATCATCAATATCACATGTGTATGTATTCATTATCTTTTTTCCAAATTTATGACACTATTGCTATGATAGTGTGTTATCTTTTTTCCAAGATTTACTAATTGTGCAAATCTTTCTAAATCCCAATTCAGATTCTATTGCTGGACGAAACTAGTAAACTAAACATTTAACATGATCCTGGTGCAACATTAATTCATACGTGTCTCTGGTTTCTTTTGTTCTAGGTCTGTATGATAAGACTCGATGGCAACCAATCACCTGAATAATCGTATGCTTTTTTCATCAATGCTCCATTAAATTGATTTTGTATTATTATATTTATTGTTAAAAAAGCAAAAAAATAAGAATTCAACATCAATAATAATGAAATATAACTTTCTTTTATTAATTTCTTTTTTTGTGCCTCTTTCTTCTTTTACTCCTAGATTTTTTATTGTGCCTGCTCAGTTCTCGGGGATTAATTTTACCTCCATAAAGTTTTAATTTGACCTTAGAGTCCATGATCTCTACGAGACAATTAACATCTATTAGCTTGAAGTACAATGTTTGAGTCTGGCCGTATATTGATATTGATTTCCTCTTGCGAGTTGCTCTTTTAAATTGTGATTGGTGGTTAACAATAGTCATCATTTTTTAAAATTTGAAACGTCCTTTTGATGATTAGACAACAAAACTTCTGATATCTTAAATAGTAAAGAAAAATAATTATTAAACTAAAAAAAATTTAAGGAATCACCATAAGAAAAAAAAATAAGAATGATTATATATTGTATATCATACAATTTGAATGATATAATAAATAGTATGATTGATTCATTACTCTATATTATTTCAAGCGATTGGAGTTAGTGTTGATCCAAGCAGTGTTATCACAGTAACAGGAGGTGAAGATGAAGATGACTTTTGTATTTAATTTGGCTCTATAGGAATAAGTGTACAGTGACAAAAAATTGCATATCACAACAATATTATTACACAATAACAACATAATTCATCAATTACTTTGTTAGAGATATGAAATACTATTGCCAGTTTTGTCTTTTTTTTTTAAAAAAATTTTGAAATGTATTAATTACATAAAAACATACATACTAATACATAATAAATAATTATGCAAAAAAATTTATATCAGTTTGTATAAATTTAATGCTTCTAAAATTTCTAGAGCTTTCTTATCAATTAAAAATAAAAAGAAATTTGAAAAAAAAAATTAACATGATGATTGCTCTAACTAAAGCCTACATAATAAATATATTTTCAAACCTTTTGAATGTGATAATATCAAAGATCTTAATTTTTACTACATTACTTTTTTAGAAAATTGAAAGCACTATTTTTTTCGCAACACGCTGTAGTAATTCCTGTAATTCCCAAACGAATCCAATCCCTTTTTCTTGCTTGATGCTTAACTGAAATCCCATGTGCATCATCAACAACAGTTTCACCTAAAAAAAAATTTAAATTTTAAATCAGGTAAATAAATTTATTCGTTCGTTCACTCACGAATAAACAATAATATGCATTAATAATTACTTTTTTTGATGTTCACCAGGGTTTCTTCGATAGATTCTTCAATATTTGCAATTGCAGAATCTTGTTCTTCGACTTGTAAATGCAATTCACGAAATAAATTTGCCAATTCTTCAATTGTTTTTTCAATCTGTTTTATACAATCATGACGTTTTTGAACTTCTTCGAATGCTGCACGAGCTTCACCTGTACGAATTAAAGCTGGTTGAAAAAGAGGTTGATTTGATGAACTACTCAAATAACTGTCAATTTCTTCTTGGGTTGCTTCTAAATTTACAATTTTATATTGACGTGCAGTTCTTTCCTTCTGTTGTCCCATATAAACATCTTCAATTCTACGATATTCTTCAAGAAGGTTGCCGAATTTCTCTCTGAGATGCTCATATCTTTGCTTTCTAAGACTAATATTTAAATCATCGATTGGTAATTTAGCATTTTCATATTGAATTTTTCTAATGCGATCTTTGATATCAAAAAGAATATTTCTTGTATTCAGCATGAGCTCTTCACGCTCTTTGTCATCACTATCCTCCTGCTTTATTGAAGTGCTCACCAGAATGCGTGTTTGTAACACTTGAATACGTTCAATATTCTTTCGAATTATGTTTATATTATGTTCAATACTTGAAGTTTCCTCAAGGAATTGCTCACTGGAATTATAATTTTGTGCCATTTTGTGTTATTTCATATACAAAAAGGTGTTATTTCTTTATTTAAATCACAAATTGGCGCTGATCCATTTATTTTTCATGGTACAAAAACCATATTAATATTAATATGGTCTATAAATGTCAATAACTATCATCTGACTTTAAAAAAGGGACAGAAGTCCGTTTCTGTAATTGCGTAATAATAATAATAATAATAATAATGGATTGGGACCCAAATTTTATTGTGACGGAGATTTAAAAACTTTTTTTTTGATATATTCTTTACGTTGCCTACCAAATACTCCGAGAGTATATATACTAATACGGTAGATTTTTTAAAAAATAATAAAAAATATATAAAGTGTATTAAACATACCTGGCAACTATTTAATATTTTCTGGTCTTTATTGTTAATACTTTTTATTTCTTATTTTGTAAATTAGAATCAAATTATTAGTAAATGGTTTACAAAGACATAAAAATCAAAAACAAAGAATATGAGCGAACTAATAAATATATGATTTATACATTCTTGATATTTGGTTGTGTGTATTTATCACTTATCCTTATTAAAAATTTTTTTTAATATATAATGATATGTTCTTTATTAGGCTTTGGATGAAGAACAATAATTATATATTATAAACTAATAATATAAGAGCAATTTTTGGAGTTTTCTACTTTCATTCATATAATATATATATTAGATTGGAATATGCTTTAGGCTTCTATCTTTATGCAAACAATCAAAAAATGAACTACTGATCATAGGAGCAAGGTTTTAAATATTGCGATTCCATTAAAGCTCCGAATGAGCTGAATCTACTCGTGTTTGATGTCACATAAAATTTTTTTTAGGTAACGAATGATTAGTTTTAATCATTTTTTGAACTCGGCTCGAAATTCAAGTTAACACGAGCCTGCTCAACTACTCGAATAAGAATTATTTGTTTTATTCGAGAGTATTTGAATAAATCGAATAAAACGAATTAAGGTTGCGTTGTATTACGAACAGAAACTCTAGCTCAACTCATCAATAATAAAGATATTTTAATGTTAAAGCGGTTCTTCTGCATTTCATTTAATTTTCCCAAATTTTATTATTAATAGTCATTCACAAAACCTAGGCCCCTGAAATTGTCATTAATATAATAATAATATTAATAATATTTTGAATTAATAATTTCATAAATAATGATAGACAATATTTGTTTTGCGTGATCATTATTAACATTAAATGATGTCAAAGCAACATAACCATTAAAGATCTCACTCGCACATGGAAAACTGCCCTTAGACAATCTGGAATACCAAAAAACGATTAAATACGAAACATTTTATTACAAATATCAAAAACATTACAATATTGGTGATGACTAAACCTTTATTCTCAAATACTATTATATATAATCTCTACATTTATGCATGAACGATCGCGGTTGCATTATCATCACAATAATAAGAAATCAATAAATAGATTATTAATAAATAAATGGTTTACATTCTTTGATTCAGATGCAATATATCATTGATTGATTGATTGATTGATTGATTGATTGATTGATTCATTCATTCATGAATTGAGATAAATATATTTTAATTAATCATTACCCATCTAATTTAAAAAAAATCAAAAATCAATAATTGTCAAGAGCTGTTTTAGTGATATCATTATTTTTCTAGTATGAGCTAAAAATCATGTGATGTAGGAATTTGTAACGCAATTTGTGATCGTGATGCAAAGATGACGAAAATGGTAACGTTGCATTGATAATAATTGGTATTTAAGCTAAGGAAAATATTAATTCTACAAAAATAAATGAAAAGAAAAAATCCTACAATATTTAGACTCTCCTATTACTATTGGTTAGCAGAAATAACTCCACTCAATAAACCCGACTAAAAAATTCCAACAACATTCCCACTACAGTCACTAATGATTCATATGGTAGATCCACTTTGTAGCAATTTCTAATACTCTCCTCACCACCGATTCTCCCAGTAGAAGACCACTGGTAGAAAACATTACAATTAATACAAGCTCTCCTTTTCAAAGACATGCTAACAATGCAAACTCTTCATTAAAAGATTCAGATATTCAGTGATTTTACTAATATTTATCATAGTCGAAAAGCAGAAATTTTTTTTAATTTGGAAGTTTGATTGGTTAATTTTCGACATGAAGAATCAGTAATTAAAGTTTATAATGAAATGAGTAATGGTGCTTTTTCAACTATTTCTGGCAAAGAAAATAAAAAAAAATTATTTTTTACAATTAGTCAAAAGAAAGCAAAGAAAAAGAAGATCGTAAAAAAAAGTTTATGATTTTGAATTAAATAATCCATCCAATAATGTAATAATTTTAAAACAACAAGGTACTTTGGTAGAGTTCGTGAAAAGTGTATTACTCTACACTTTGAGAGTCTTTTCAATACTTGGACATCTGGTAATGACATTATTGATAATAATTTCATATCCTATAAATAAAATTATAAAATGGATACCTTATGGAAAATATAAGAGAATTAACAGAAGGTGTATTCAGTTTAATTTATATGATCAGGTGGGCAAGAGGAAATTTCTATAATAAAAGGGATTTTATTTATTTTGGAGCCGAGCAAGTAATATTGAAAATTTTAATAATTCAAGTAATTAATCAAGGAAAACCTTTTTTTAATGGGTAATTAATCTTATTTAAAATAAACCAAGTTAAACCATTTATTTTAAATTAATTGATTTTATTTATAATAATTACAGGCATTGAATTATTATAAAATTCAATTATTCCTTGTTATGGTAGAACTAAATCCTCAGAAAACGAAAATTATGAATGGTTCTTCTTTATTTTCCACAAGGAAATTTATGGATTATTTACAAAATAATCATTCAAACTTAACATTAAAGGATAGAATTACAATTATAGCTATTTATGTGATGAATAATATTTTATTTTATGGAAAAGGTTTAATCTACACAGTAGTAACATATTAATACAGGGAGGAAGTGACCAATATATTATAGATTTGGGATTATGTGGAAAAATTATCAAATAATATCCATGGAATTGTACCATATATTGTACCAGAGCTATTTAGAGGAAAAAAGAACACAAGATAATCAGCATTGGAATGTCAGTGTGGGAAATATTGGCAAGCCATCCACCATTTGATAATAGAGCTCATAATCATTTTTAATGATATATATATGTGAAGGTTTATGACTAGCAAATATTACCAAGAATGATTATGCACAAATGATGCAAAGCTGTTGAGATATGGATTCAACTAAGTGGCCGAATAATTAGAAAGCTCTGAGAATTTGCTAATAATAAATTTAAAACTGAAGATCTTACTTAATGAAAGCAGTAGTGGTGTAAATTTCCTCTAATTTGTTATAAGTAAATGTATAGAGCTCTTCAATAGTTGGTCTCTTTGTTGGATCCATATCTCAACATATCTGCATCATTTGTGAATAATCATCAGCATTCTTGGTAATATTAGTGGCCATAATAATAATAATAGTAACCCACAAATCACATTCATTAGCATATCATACAAGTAAAATATTAAATTGATGAAATTGCTAAAAAGTGGTGATAGTTTATTAAGTGAAGAATTTAATATTATTATTTAATTATTAGATTGTTTATTTATTTATTAATAATGTGATTATTTATATAATTATAATTTTTATGCAATATAAGTAACATCTCCTTCCTTATTTTTATTTCCTTGGTCATCATTAAATCTTTTAAAATTTAATAAAATATAATATTTGTAAATCTCTGCTTTTCTTACCAATCATTCATTATACAACATTTATAAAATTTCTTAAATCTTGGAATGGTTGTCACTTCTTGATTTTTTGTTACTAGCCACTTTATTATTATGTGCTTATTTCTTTAATCAAAAACTTCTTTTGCTAATTTTCTTTCGTTCAAAGTAAAATTTTCTTGGAATTTTGTGCAGAACAATGAGTTTATGTAAACTCAATAAGTCAGTTTTGACCTAACTCAGCCAAAAAGTTTCAATAAGTCAGTTGAAGTCATGATAAGCATTAAGTCAGTCAATCACTTAGCCCAAGTATAATTAAATAAATCACAATAAGTAATAATTTTTTATTCGTAATATTTCATCATTAGCAAAATGATTATTTGTAATAAAATGTCTGATGTAAAAAAACTAATCTTTATTGTTCATTTTTTATAATTTAGAAGGAAGTGAGCACTCTCACTTGTGAACTATATTCATATTTTATTACCTCCATCAGTTATAATGCATAATCACACATCCATTTTTTCTTGTCAAGTAATTTTAAAAAGAGAACTTTTAATCATTTGATAATTTATCATGAATAATGCATTGATATTTTATTATCTCAGCAATTGTATCATTGATTGTATCATTCATTTATCATGAATAATGCATTAATATATTATTATCTCATCAGTTATATCATCAAGAATTTAGAGAATATTCTTAACAATACATCTGTATTTATTTATCTCATTTTTATATCATCATTTTTATATCATCACTTATATCATTGATTATCTAGTGTGAAGAAATACATTTTTATTCCTATTAAATTTTATTATGTTCAGAAATATGTATTAATAGTTATATGAAATTAATTTACATCAGATCTACCATGGAACCCAAGAATTATAGCACCATTAGAAGTATTTTGAAGAAGGATAAGGGGAAAAATTGCACCTTATGTTTTTAAAATAAATGATGCTCAAACATTATAAGCTTATCTAAGTAAAGAAAATATTACCTATGAAATTTTCCAAGAAAATAATAAATTTTAGAAAAAGAAAGCAGAATGAAGGTGTGCTATTACCCAAAAATCCTTAGAAGGAAAATAATATTATTATTGCAATATTGGTTTATTTTTTATTTTAATTCTTTTAATGACATAAATCATGGTAATTATAAAACCTAAAAAAGTTATACAGTATAACCTTGTCATAACGAAGGTATGGTACCGACAACTTAAATTCGTTGTGACAAAACTTCGT